CTTTTACGTTAATTTTAACACACTTCAGCAATAAAAAAAAAGACACACAAATGTTCGTTTAGAGTAATTTGTGCTTATTACTACGGTTGAACTGGATCATCGAAGGTCAGAAGCAAATAGAATGGGATTAAATACATAAAGGATATTTGTGATGTTTAACATTTAATTATTGCAGGTTTGCGTCATATTCTGAGTTGCGTTATTTTTATTCATTTTGAGGAATACTGAGTCTGTGTTGTTGTTTTTTGTGAGTGAGATGAATTAATGCATATTCATATTTATTTTAGAACTACAGTAACATCTTCTGATTTCTCTCAACATGGGGACAGGAGAGCTGTCAGTCAATAAATTGGAAAAAAAAGTAACTTGCGTTACTTATTTGAAAAAGTAACTCAGATATTCTGTTGTAAATTAAAAATGCGTTACTTTATTCGTTACTTGAAAAAAGTAATCTGATTACGTAACACGTTACTTGTAATGCGTTACCCCCAACACTGAACACTGGTGATAGCTGTGAAACACAATGCCGTCATCAGATCCAGTGACCTTCAGTAACTGTTGATTCTGGAAGTCTGGACAAAAATATTCCAAACCTGCAACACTTTGGGCATGTCATGTCATTGTTGTTTTCATGTTTATTAATGTTTGTTCATATAATGCAGGGAAATGTTTTTGTCTGCCAAACAACTTAAAATAAAATATTTACTTGAAATATCTCAGAGGAAGGTAATATTTCAATAATAATTGAACAATACATTCACCTGTTTACAGTATTTGACATTTTTAGGATTTAATTAATCATCAGCTTTTTATCCGCTCACAAACTCACCGTATTTCTTACATTAAGCCCAGTTTGGGTAAGTCTGGTGTAATGTAATGTTTATTGCATTTTGTTGATATCAAAAAATGGAATATATTTTCTTTCTCTTTGCTTTTTATATCAGTATGGTACATTTAAGGTAAGTTTTTAAAACAAGTTTGATAAAAAAGTAAACTAAACTAAAAGTAATCTTCAAAAGTAGTCACATTACACTGCCTAAAAATGAGTATCTTAGATTACGTTACTAACTACAGTTGTCTTCATGTAATCTGTAATTAGTAACAGACTACAATTTGTAAGTAATCTACCAAGCTCTGCATGTCTGCTTTTTAAACTTTTAGGAGTACACTAGCATATGTTTTAACTTTTATATATATACAGTGTTTATGGAGTAATGTAATGGAATTACATAATTTAATTACAAAATAAATGTAATTGTAATCAGTTACACTTACTGAGAAAAAAAATGTGTGTAATTAAATTACAGTTACTTATGAAAATGTTAACCATTACAAAGGGGGTTACGTCTGAATATTTTCACACACACAGATTTAATTGATTCTTTCATAAATTTCACTGACTGCTCTAAAATATGAGACACCAATGTTTCACTAGTTTAGGATACAGAATAGGACACATGCTTATTCGATAACGGTATTATTTCCTATTTGGGTTTATGTAGGCCTTATATGTTTTATTTCAGTAATTATGTCCCCACTGGATGCAACAAATGCCTCGTTTATAATGGGTTTTAATGTTATCATCTCGTCGCTCCGGCCGGACACGCCATCACAGTATGGTAGGGGCGTAACATTTCCGTCACACACTTGAGGAATTCGGCCAATCACAATGCACTGGATAGCTGGCCAATCACAGCACACCTCGCTTTTCAGACCGATGAGCTTTGTAAAAATCGATGCGTTTCAGAAAGGCGGGGCATAGAGGAGAAACAATAATGTACAGTATGTGGAAAATAATGTTTTTTTAACTTTAAACCGCATAAACACATTTCATTACACCAAATACACAAAATAATATTCTTTTTAGCAGCATCATATGACCCCTTTAACATTTTTTTTCCAAGGCATTGTTAGATGCCAGTGTTTCTTATAATAGCTATCCAAAGATTTGATTTCAAAAACAGTATCATAGGTATTAAACAATGATTTTAAATCTGTATTTAACCTCAAAACAAAGTAAAAAGAGGGTGTGAGGACTGGAATTGGGAACCGCTGGGCTACATCATGTGTCATTCACCGGTGAGAAAACTTTAGGACACGTCACATGTTGTCGTTATGTCACACTCGGTGCGTTCCAAACGGGATATATCGCCCTCCGAAGGGCACTTCTGAGTGAAAACAGTCATGGCCGCCATATTGAAGGGTCGTTCCAAACCGAAGTGCTCAAAACTGTTCACTTCAAAGGGCCCTTCGGAATGAAGGATTTCGAAGGGTACAACTGATGGACACTTCGGGCTCCCATGATCCTTTGCGCAGATTCTTTGCATGATGATGGCGCCTCCGTGTGTGCACGTGATGATGACGCAGAAGGGCACTTCAAGGAACAGTTGTTTGGTCCCCTACACCCTTCAACCCTTCGAAGCTCTCACTCCGGAGGGTAAACCCTTTGAAGTGATTAGGGCATAGGGATGAGCCCGAATGGAACGCAGGGACTGTTTCGAAACTCCGATGGTTCACCACTAGGGGGTGTTGATCTCAAAGTGAACCCATGAACCACTTCTGGTTGCCCAGCTAATCATGTGACATGAAAACCCACGAAATTGTACTATAAAAAATAAAGAATTCAGGGCCAGATGTTGTGGGTTAAACAAAAGATAACTTCCCTTTAACACAGATGGCTATATAGTTTTAAAAAATGTGTAAAAACATTCAGTACTTTCAACCTACAAATCACATCATACCTTAAAAATAACAAAATGAGCTTACGATAGAATTAAATCCACCTCCTTCTCCTGACTGATAACACTACTCTTGCCTGCTGGTTTTGCAGCTCTAATGAAAACAATTAATTAAAAAATGACATAAATCAATTAATTAATTAAATAATTTATTTAGTTCATTGTGTGTTAAGGGTTTGATTATACTTAAATAAAACACATAACACAATCACTAATATTTAATAGTGTGTATTATTTATTTAAAAAAATGGTATTTCTAAAAAAAAAATCATTTCCATTTGTTTTGTAAGTTTGGTCTGAGTTCTTGATGCTTTTTACGTTTTCACCAGCAGGTGTCGCCAGCATGAGCTGTTTCAAGTGTTTTTCGAAGCAATTGGTTCAATTGATTCAATGCTTCGAAAAGCTTCGTTTCTCCCATCACTATTTAAAAAAACTACAATACCGGGAAGGAAGATCGGGTTATTGATGTTTATCTGCCATTCTCGCTCTGTCTGCACAGAGTGCGTGAACACGCTAATGACGTATCCTGCCTGCGTGAACCGGGTGCGCAGAGGTATGCTAATACAACTAATATTTAATAGTGTGTATTATTTATTTAAAAAAATGGTATTTCTAAAAAAAAAATCATTTCCATTTGTTTTGTAAGTTTGGTCTGAGTTCTTGATGCTTTTTACGTTTTCACCAGCAGGTGTCGCCAGCATGAGCTGTTTCAAGTGTTTTTCGAAGCAATTGGTTCAATTGATTCAATGCTTCGAAAAGCTTCGTTTCTCCCATCACTATTTAAAAAAACTACAATACCGGGAAGGAAGATCGGGTTATTGATGTTTATCTGCCATTCTCGCTCTGTCTGCACAGAGTGCGTGAACACGCTAATGACGTATCCTGCCTGCGTGAACCGGGTGCGCAGAGGTATGCTAATACATATGTTGACAGGCAGGTAGGAAAGCCAATTAAAACTCTCGGACCGAGCTGTTTGATTGGACGAACATTTCTTGGTCCTACGCCTTCCACAGAATATATAAATACAGATAACTACATTTAGACCACTTAACTTAATGATTGCTATGGAGATGTGAAGAGACTTTCAACCAGCATAACAAAAAATGTTTTTGAAGACAATCACCTATTGCACCTGTACTCTTGTATCTTTTTGTTCCGATTTTCATATACTTTTGCTTCAAATCAAAGTTTGTAATGTTGTGATTCACCTTGTAGCTGGTTAGTTTGGTTCATGGTTTATAACTCTTTAAGAAAAGACTGTGAAAACAATTAGTGTCAAAAATACCTCAAATACTTGCACTCCGTACCACTTGCCACCACCCCAACTGACTGTTTCAACTGGAAATATGGCAACATAGGAAAGAAAACTGTTTGTCAAAATCTGTCACAAAGTCTTTAATAGTGATGGGTCAATATCACTAGGGTGCCTTTTGGTGTCCTGTACAAAAACTAATTTGCCATGATAACTTAATATAAAACTGACTATGAAAGGGTGTGGCTAAGTTTTTGTATTCATAACAAAAGCATTACTTGGCTCTTTAGATACATTTTCTAGATTTTTTTGTTTTTGTTTTGTGTAAGAGGATGCATGTTATTTTGCTATGTCCCATGTACTGCTCATTAAATTGGAATGATAGTAGAATATTGTCAAATCATAAAATGTAAAAATGTTGTTCTCCTATTGATATTTTGTTAAAGATGCTGCCATAAAATATGCCAGAAGTAATTAGAATACAGTATTTTCAAAATATGTAAGTTTAAATATACCAAATTCTCTTTAACAACCAGACTATTTAGCTAGTCAGTTTGTTATAAGCTAATATGCTAATTGAAGCTCAAAATGTCCACCCTGTTGGCCACTTAGACATGATAGGGTGGACATAGCATTCATTTGTAGTTAATATTGCTAAAAACTAAAATGAATGGGGAGGGGTATATCAATGTGATTGAGGATGTAATGATATTATTTATTATTTTTTTCGAAGTTGAATAAATGTTTCATTGTCATATTTTGTCATGCTTTGTGTTCTGCATTATGTGTCCACCCCATCATGTGCTGGTCCACCCTGTCATCTTGATAGTTTACAATAATATTTTAAATAATTCAATCATATCTATATAATTCAGTGTGTTCAATAGCTAGGTGTGGGAGCAATAACATGCAAACAAAAAACTGCATCCAAATGTGCTTATCTTGTGGCCTCCTTAGTTGAGAACCACTGGTTTAGAGACAACACCCTGATTTGATATATTCTGTGTAAGGGTTAAAGGAGGTTCATTCTCTCACTCTGATTTCTTCTCATAGGTTTTGGTAGATTCCTCTAGTTTGTTCTCCAGGTCCAGCATGAGGTCCTCTTTGCTGCGCAGACTCTGCTGGGTTAGGAGCAGCTCCTCTGAGGTGGACTTCAGCCTGAGATCAGTCAAACCCATATCTTCAGTACTTTTATCTGGCAAATCAAGTCACTTACGACTGGTAGCATAAAAAATAGCTGTGCTTACTAAATATGGAGACTGCGGAAAAGACTAAAACTCACTAATGTACAACTAACGCTACCAAGCGTTAATATCACCAAACATAAGGACTGAAGCCTTCATGCAAATCTTCCATATATACAGCTAATAAGTGACACTGACTGAGAAATGAGCAACTCACATTGCTTGTAAACTGTCTGCTGTCAAATTATTCCACAGAATCTCATTTGCTTGAAGATTCTCAGTTTCTTCTAATAGCGTTGCATCAAATTCTACATTTGCTTCTTTGGCTTCTGGTGATCTGTTGAAAAGATCTCAGTGATATTTAACATTTCTGACAAAAAATATATTTTAAATAATAAAAATATACTATTTACATTATTATTTAAAAATAAAAAGACTTTAATAGAAATTAATCACACCTATAACACATTATAATCAATTAGCATTTTTTTATTCACAAGTGTCTTACTTATGAACTTCGATGAAGTTGTCATACTCTGACAGTGGATCGATTTGGTCGATGGAAGTGTGTATTTCTTTGTGGACCTTCACTATTTCATCTGTTAACAGGCTGGTGATTTCACTGTACTCCTCCAGAATCCCCTTACTAGAATTAAAAAAAAAAAGAAAATTAAAATCATTGTTTGTATCCATTTATGAATGTACCATGTCATTGATATGAGTTAATCTACTTGGATTATTATTAACATCAGTGGTGCTTATTGAGCTCATACTTAAGGGAAGGGTTTTGAACAATCTTATAATTTTTCTGATTATGTAAAGTAAAAATCTATTATTGATCATTTTTTAAATGAACTGACAGTTCAGCTAATCAGTGGTTCTGAATATACAACTTTTCTTTAACTTTATGTCCAACATTGAAGAAACTTCTGCATGGTTGTTTGACCCACACTGAATGGTCATATATAATAGAGTGGTGCATTCTAAATCAATCCCAGAAGGCTCTTGCAAATGGTTCCTTTGTGTGGATTAACCTCCACTACAGATTACCGCAAACTCTGTGATTAAAAAACAGCTTAAGAAAAGAAAAACCCGAAAGAGACTTCTGTTCTCCGCTAATCCTCTGACAGCTATGAGATATTGGATTGGGGCTACATCATGCAGTAAGGTTTTTAGTGTAGCTGCACTAGTTGCGCAAGGTCTACAAGAAAATATTTTATTACACGTGGAGCTCCACAGCATTCACAACACCCAGACACAGTACAATCCAAAGACTACACTGCCCTCCACAGTTCAAGAGGAAGCTGTATTCTCCTGTCAATGCCTAAAAGCTTATTTGTACATATAGAAGGCAAAACTCATTTAACTACAGATATAACTATTATGTGCTTAAATTGTATACTGATATTAAATTGTGCAATACTTGCATATGGGTCAATATCACTGTAGGCTGCCTTTTTGGTGTCCTGTACATAACTCATTTGCCATGATAACTTAACATAAAAATGACTATGAAAGGGTGTGTTATATTGGGCTAAGTTTTTATATTCATAACAAAAGCATTACTTGGCTCTTTAGATACATTTTCTAGATTTTTTTTTGTAGTTTTGTGTAAGAGGATGTGTGTTATTTTGCTATGTCCCATGCACTGCTCATTAAATTTGAATGATAATAGAATATTGTCAAATCATAAAATTAAAAAAATATTATTCTATTAATATTTTGTTAAATAAGAGATTACTCAATTTGAGTGTATTGATCATTTGGTAATAAAAATGATATTTTTATAGAGTTTGTCCATGTCCCTTGAATGGTTGTCCACCCTGTCGTATTGGGGAATCCGCCTCTTTAAGAAAAGGCCATCCCCTTTAATGACATCAGGACAACAGATTTTTTGTCTCTTCAGTGGCGGGAATTTCAACGGCTGAGGTGAATAAGTTGGTGACTTTTCAAATGACAAATTTTCTTCGTGTGAGTTTGCTTTCAATGTGGATGAGGATGTAATTAATATATTATTTATTATATTATTTTTTTAATAACCCTGTTTAGGAAAGGGACATCATACCTTTCAGAAAATATCATTTGCATCTTAATATTGCAATGAAAATGTATTTAACAGTAATATATATTTCCATTACAGGGTGGACATATCTTATGGTTTATGCTTCGAATAATGGCCTATAATTATCTAAAAAAAAATGTGTGGGAGCTCAGCTAATACGTTTCTATAGTACTTGAGTGTCTACTATTTATGACACGACATAAAGCAAATAGGAAATTAAAATTAATGAGTATTGTGAGGGTTAAAAGGCACTCTATGGTGATATTGACCTTGATATTTATTTCGATTTTATATTATTTTAAGTTTTTCATGCAGGTTTTCAATTTATGAGTGTGGTGCGTGTAATTTATGCTGTAGAAAAGAATGTCTCTCCTGACTGGCTACATCACTGCATTTTTTTGAAAACACTAACAGCAGATAGCAGTCTGGCCGCATGTACACGCCACATCGTCTTCAACAGGCAGAGCTACAGAAAAGACTGAAATCATCACTGTATAAAATATTTAGAGTAGGACTGCCATTCACCTAGGAGGGCTTTTGTGTCATGACAATGCAGTTTGCAAGGTGGACCATTGACATGTTTAAATATATACTTTCATAAGGGCAAAAATGGGCATAAAAGCACCAAAGCCTTCAGTAAATGTGTGTCCTTGAACTTCAAGAGGTACTGTATCCCATTAATGGCCCCTTGTTTCCAGACAGGTCTGCTCATTAGTAATTGAACTCAGCCTGCATTCTCCCTACCTCAACAAAAAATGCACACAGCAAAAGCCCTTGTCTCCTGAGACAGTGAAGTTTGTTAAATTCTTGAGCTGAACACTTCAGTAAGAGGCAAATGAACACAACTGATCATGTTACATTATAATGCAAAAAGCGACACTGTAATTTCATTTTACATCATATAACGGGTTAGGAACAGTCATTAACTAGCAATGGAATGCAGACAATTCTGTTTGGATCTACAATAATAATAATAATAAAAAATGACCTTTATACCCAAAATATGTATAACATATCATTCTTTAATATAATTTAAAGGCAGCGGTCAAAGCATTTTGTACAACTTCAGTGCAAAACAAATTTGGACTTGGAAAAAAACTAACAAAAAAATAATCTTGTTGCGTCAACTCGTGCAACTACAGAAAGCAAAAAAGTTACTGTATTGCAACATATACAAATTAAATAATATACACGGTCCATGCATTTATGCACAGCCTCTATAGCTAAATTCATGAATGTGTATATGGGAGAGAATGTAAGAGTGTGTGTGTTTATGTAGAGTGTGGCTCAAGCCATCAGTGCGTCACAGTCCAGGTTTGGAGTTGATGTCCAACTTTCATGAACGACAGCTGTTCCCTCAGCCCGATTTGAAGAGCAGAATGGCCACTTGACCCAAGTAAAAGTAGATGAAATGCTTAGTTTCGTGCGTCACATAACTGCCAAAGTTCCGTCCCACAATACAATGCCATGTCGGATTATACTTCTTATCGAACTCCTGTTGACAAGCAAGAACAGTAATTTATACTTTTACTAGGAGCAACAGTATTCTAGAAGGCCTGGGCTACATCAACAGTGTATAGTACCATATTAATGCATTTACATACTTTATGATGTGCATATTGCAAATGCATTAAAATAGTGTGCACTCTTCATTAAAAAGTAATGTTATATAATACATTTGGGGGGTGGGGCCAATGAAACATTTAGCTGAGCATTAGTTTCAAAGTATTGAAGTGTATTACAAAGTCAAAGTTAATCTATTTTTGTTTAAGGTATTTTTGTTTCTATATCATTTAAATAAAAATTTGCTGAAATTTCTCTCACTCTCAGGCCATCCAAGATGTAGACGAGTTTTTTTTTTTCTCATTGGAACAGATTTGGATAAATATAGTATTACATCACTTGCTCACCAATGGATCCTACGCAGTGAATGGGTGCCGTCAGAATGAGTCCAAACAGTTGATAAACATCACAATTCACAAAGAAATCCTCACGAATCCAGATGATCAATTAACATCATGTCAAGTGGAAAGCTGCATCTTTTTAAGAAACAAATGCATCATTAAGGTGTTTTAACTTTAAACCGTCACTTCTGTCCAAAATACAAGTCCATAATCAATAATACTGCTTCCTCCAGTGGAAAAATGGTTCCCCTGTTGTCCTCTCACGTGATAATCCACCTACATAATTGTTTAGAATGGTTTTTACTTGTTAACAGTGCTGTGTATATTTCTCTCCTAAATCAGATGAGATGACTTTTCACTGGAGAAAGCAATATTATGGATAAAGGACTCATATTTAGCCAGAAGCAAATATCTAAAGTTAATGATGTTTATTACAAGCACGTAGCTTTAAGCTTTACGAGTCATTAATTGATGGACTGGAGTCGTGTAGATTATTGTGATGTTTTTATCAGCTGTTTGGATCTCATTCTGACGGCACCCATTCACCGTGAGCATGTAAAGTAATGCTAAATTTCTTCAAATCTGTTCTGATGAGAAAAACTCATCTCCATCTTGGATAGCCTGAGGGTGAATACATTTTCAGCAAATTTACATTTTTGGGTGAACTATTCATGCTGAATCTTTGTAAGAATGAGGATGAAGTAGGAAATGATGTTTTAAAAATAAAGTACTGTTGAAGTCTTTGGAGGTGTCAATCATAAATATTCTGTGGATGGGTGACCTTTTTGATATATGCTGCAATGTCCTTCTCAATGTTGTACTTCTCCATGGCCTGCGTGGCACAATCCACTGCATCCTGCTGCATGTCCTCAGACATATCAGCGTTCTTTATTACTGCCTTCCTGTCAGTCATGATGGCTGTGAATATGAAGAGAAAAGGCAAAGGGGATTCACTGACCGTCTGGTATACAGTCATATGAACAATGAAGAACCTTGATCATGAAGCTGAATTAGCTACTTAAAGCTTTCTTGTTTAACAGTGCTACTATCACCACACAGAAAAAGTTATGACTGGAAAAGGTATTTAAACATCAGAAAAAGGACACCTTCACCTTAAAGGATTGCATTTCTCATTTTAAAATCATGAAAAGGTCAATTTTTTTAAGTTGACAATGGCAAAAATAAAATCTCAATAAAAACGTAATTGCATTCGAAAAGTTTGAAATATTTGCACACAGCCATCACTTACAAAAAAAAAGGGCCTGGCTCACTATAATCGCTTGTCAGTTCTTTTAATGGCAAATTCGGATGTAAATGGTCTGCTCTGGGACCTGTCTGAGTTTACGGAGTCATATACCTTTCCAATCAGCTTATTAAGGAACTAGTGCATCTACTAAAAAGGAAACGTGCAGTCATGATTTGACAAAAAGGAGGCCACCTCAATCAGCTCCCTCTGCAAAAGACTCCCAGTGTTGGGCCCAGGAGAGGGAGAAGGTTGATGAAATCAATTCAGTGAGGAGGATGTATGAGAAAGTGCAGAAATCAGATTTTTATCCAGCTCGATTTACTGACATGAAACTAAACCAAGGACAACCGCATATGCAACAGAGAGGTCATCTACATCAGAGACATTTCAAATCATTTGCATTCAGTAAACTGACATTTAGAATTAGAGATTGACCGATATCGTTTGGTATGACTCATAACTATAGGTTATTCTGAAGCTGAAATGTGTTGTTTTCTCCTATCCTTGCTTAGTATGCAGACAACACTAAAACCACTTGTAGTTTAATTTCCCGTTTATTTTAGTAAACCGCAGTTTATCTATCAAAACATGCCAGCGCAGCAAAATTGGCTCAACCAATTGCATAAGTTTGGGGCGGGAAGATTTGTGTGTTATTGTTTCAATAACAGACAGTTGAAAAAATTGGTCAAGTAACCAATTTAATTTGATTTCTGCTTTTTGGGAAATGTTTTTTTAATTAAATTATTAATTAATTAAATATGTACAATAACAATGATCACAGCAGTTATTTTGAAGCTGAAGTGTGTTTTTTTTTTTTTGCTCCTGCCCTTGCTTAGTATGCAAATTAAACTAAAAGCCATTTGTAGGTAGGGATGCTCTGATCCGCCTTTTTCGCCTCCGATACGATACCGATACCTAGGGTTCGGCCGATACTAAGGACTTAAATATTCATATGTAGCTCACATTAAGCTATCGTATGGCTTCAGAAGTAACACAGAATAATTCGCACAATCAGAAAAAAATATATAAAAATCTCGGATTTGGATCGGCCCTCTCTACGAAATCCTCCGACATTCTTCTTTACAAATCCTCGTTTTGTACTTCTAATAAGTGACCGGTGTTTTGTTTTGATCTCTCCGCTGCGCTTCCGCGTTCGTCACTTCTGAGCAGCACATGCACAACGCTGACCTCATACGTCATTCCCCCGGAGCTGCTTCCGTGTAGGACTGTTGGCGCAAGCTACATTAAAGTGATTATTACGTTTTGAATATAGATATTTTTCTTACAAAAACGCATCGATTAGCTACAGGAGGTCTTTGTTCACCCCCCGGAGCCGTGTGAGGCACTTTTTTTTTTATGGATGGGTGCTTTTTATTTAAAGAAGAAAGTCATATACACCTAGGATGACTTGAGGTGAGTAATTTGTGGGCTAATTTTCATTTTTGGGTGAACTAACCCTTTAATTTCCCTGAAAACTTTAAATAATGTGGCACAATAAAAACATCCCAAAAAAATTGGCTCGACCATTCACATAAGTTTAGGGCGGGACTATTTGCTTGACTAGCCAATGGCACATGGAGGTGTGTTTGAAAAATGGGTCACTTTAAATGTCATTAAATTATATAAATACATTTTTTTTTATTTAAAATGTATAATTAAAATTTAATTATGATAAAAAAACGGTTGATATATTAAAATTTGTATAATAATCATTATTTCACTGCCCGCATTTTATTTCATCCCACAATGCACCAGGGCCCGTCTGGACTCAGAATCCCACATCCTCAGGCCAAAGGTATTGATTCCTGTGAGGTATTATCCTATTTGTTTACCACACTATATGTAACTTATATGTTTATATGTAACTTACTGGTTACTAAACATTATGTTCACTGCCTTAAATAGTGTTCACATTTGGAATCAACCAAGCATAATTTCATAACGTCTTCTCATAAATTCATATTTCAACGTACTAATCTACAGCTACATGTAAAGACAATGTGTTGCTTTGTGTGCCAACAAACTTGTTTAATTTACTATGCAATGACCTCAAAATCTTCCATAGACACGCATATTTGAATGTTTACTGTATCAGTCACACTGCAAGTTCATTTCTAGAAAAATGAAGTAAAGAAAACAAAACACTTTAATTGAACAGTTGATCTTTATTTAAAGAAGGGAGAGAGAGAAAACACACTACAATCTAGAAATATAAAGTAGCCAATTGTGGGGGGAAAGAAACACCACTGCCAACACAGCAAATGCCAACAAGTGTTATTTGAAAAGTGATTTTTGAAACCCTAAATAAACTACAACATCCCCCTGAAAATGTGCCTATGATCCCACCCTCCCACGAATTCGCCCCTATTTACCACGCTCCTCATGCCGATTCCATCCAGCCTTCTGGTTCCTTGCTCTGCTTCTTTTTATACCAAAAAACAAATCTCGCAAAAATAAAACAGGCACCTGGATCCCTTCTGCGCGCATCAATGGGGCTCCACGGAAAAAGAAAAAAATGAATTTGGTTCTAGAGAAGCCAATTACGTTGTGGTTTGGTGGGGGGGATGCGGGGCTGGGGTTGGGATCCCCTCCTATGGTTCCCGTTCCCGGTAAATTGATCCCGCTCCATGTATGTATCCATCCTTATCCTAATCCTAATCCTGCTCCTGATCCTGAACTGATCCAATGATCCGGCTCCAAGGATCGGGACACAGTGAGCCCCTCCTCCAATCCAAACCTTTGAATACCAGCAAAATCAAAGAGAGGGAGGTAACAAGTTAGAATCACAGCTAAATGAAGAGCTTCTATTATTGAAAGCTTCTATAAATTTATCATAGGAGCGGTATTTTTTTTTTTTTGTGTAAATGACAAAAAGGATACCAGACTATGATATGCTCTCGGAAGAGGTTTAGAGCACCACCTAAACGCATTAAATTGTGCTTATTCATTGGAAAAACAAGCAAATCTAACCTAGAAAAAAAAAAGACACTTCCTCTTGACAAATACACAATTTACATGAGAACAACTGCACATGGCAAGCCTTTATCTTGTCTAATGATATATCTACATGAGAGTTCAATAGTGGCCTATTCCCAGCACATTTTGGACAACAGGCAAAAATGTTTTTGTATTTAAAAACGAAACACCCAAAAAAATAAAAAAAACAATGCTGTCTTAATGTACGTACAAGCATCGCAACATCCAGACAGTACACATGCATGCTTAGCAGCAATGACCAGTGAGAAAAGGTAAATTAAACAGGGAAGGGGAGTGTTGTGAAGGGAGGAAGAATGGCAAAGCAAAACTAATGTGTTACTGAACTAAGAAAATCCAGAGTACTGGAAGTCGACTGTTTTTTGAAGTTGACTAAAGCCGCTTGCCGTCATACCATTGCCTCCTTAAATGAAATGCCTGCTCCTCCTCCTCCAAATATCCTAATATGAATGAACTGTGCTTCAAAATCCTTTATTCCAAAGCTTTCTTTAATCCTGCTCTTCTGTTGTCTATAGAAAGACATGAAAAGGTAAAAGTATAACAGTTTTTCAACGAAAAAAGAATCCCACCCCAAAAAAGCCAGTAACGAAGCATCATTAACAAAATAAAACAGTAGCAAATTAATTAGTCACACACACAACTATTTAAAGCATTTCAACATGTCCCTTGTCAAACATATAGTACAAGGGATGAGTATGAAGAAAAAAAAAAAAAAAGGATTGACGGGAAAGAAAGGAGAGAAAGGAGAACATCTACTTAGCTACACATAGCTGTCATTAGCAGAATGACAGTCAAATAAAAAATAAAAACAATTAACAAACCAAAGATGAAAGAAAGCAAACTGGGGAAAAGTGGAGAGACAAAAGTCAAAAGAGCAATGAAGTACAACAGTGGGTCCAATAGAGGACGACACAGCGTGTATATGATTGTGGCCAGCCAGCTAGCTGGGATGTGGATGTTTAGGTGCGGGAACGGGAGCGGCTGTGGCGGGGCGAGTAACGCGGCGATCCTCGGCTGCGGCGTGGAGAGTAGCTGCGACTGCGGCTGTTGCTCCGGCTGCGACTCCTGCTGCGGCTGCGAGAGCGCCCGTAACTGGGGCTGCGCGGGCCATCCACCTTTACGCGAATGTAAGCCGTCTCTCCCTGAGGAACATAACGGGACACTTTCTAACAAAGAACTACCAGATCTCAGGTTACTCCTAATTCATGACTCACTTGGCAAATCTAAAACAGATACATTTTTTTTTTTTTTAGATTTAGCACTACACCAAATTACACATCCTTCCAGATGTGGCCCACTGATAAAATCACTTACATTCAAAAGAGCCATTCCATGGATCCTCCTAGTCCATGTGGCTCCATCATGGGTCTCTGACATCAAGCTTACCTTGATATTCCCAAATCCTTAAGCTATGCCCTGTCCTGTCCAATGGCGGTCTACGTTTACAAACTCACACCTACCTCATGTGACCGGAACTTAGTGTTATCCAGCTTTCGAACGGCGTAGGTCATGTCTTCTTTGCGCACAAACTCCACAACGCCAGTGCCGTCCCGGAAAACGTCAGCATAACATACATCACCTGCTTCACGCATGTGATCCTTAAGGTCCTGCCAGCTGCCACTAGGAGGAAGTCCTGGACAGAAAAAAATCGTAACCATTACATAAGTAGATCCTTCTCTTAATGAACAGCACAAGAATCATTACGCCAACAAGTGACCATTTCAAGGAAGCAGTAGGTTTTGCATACCCAGGTTAATTTGTGGGTACTTTTGCCAATAGCTACGGGAGCTTTCCTGAAGTGCAAAAGCTTTTTATGATATCGCACCATTTAAAGATAGTAAATGCATGCATAATAGTTTCGGCAATTAAATTTATATTTATTTTACATCATATTTACTAAAATAATTAGATATTTGAACTTAATAAACGTAAAAAATAAACAGATTTATGCTTTCCTGATTCTGAAAATTGCAATTCCGCAAATAAAAATGTGAGGAAAAACACAAAGTAAACACTGTAATCTGGTTAGTCGGTGTGCTTTTTTCCCCTCAAGTAAGCACCAGGTAACGCTAATATCACATACAATAAAGGCACAGTGAATATGATATGTATATGACAGCTGCCAAACAGAAAAAGAAAAAACACTAAACATTAAAGAATACTAAAGGCTGGACTACACTACACAACTTTAATAATCAGAACAGATTTTAAAATACCAGGCATCATACACTTGCCAACTTTTTAAATGATTCTAGTGAGAAAAAAAATGGACATCAAACTAAATGACTGAGGATCACAGAAAACAACAAACTCATGCAGAAATGTAACCTCCCTGCTAGGAGACACATGACAAATGAAAATAATTACTAAAATTAGCTTAAAATATAAAACATGTTGTCCTCCAACTTGATGGAATCATAGTTTGAAGTAAGGCTGGGCGATATAGCTAAAAAAAATGTATCAACGATATAATGTTTTATATCGTTTGGTATCGATAATTATTGACATTTTTAATAACCTTTTTAAAAACAAAGAGCAATAGAATTTTTTTTAAATTTAACCACTGTATTTTTAAATCAACCCAATTTATTGAGACAAACAAATATTTTTTGTTTTAACAGTCAAACACACAATAAAAATGAAACAAATATCTAATTTCTAATGTTTTATATGCAGATTAAACTTAATGAAACTTTTGGCTTGTCTCCCGAGGCTACAGGAGGGCACAATAGGCAAAATAATGCAGCACATTTAAAGGGGTCATATGTCTATAAAAAAACCTGCATTACGTCTAAATTAACTCATATAAATCAAATATAATTTCGTAAATTGCATAAACAACTATGAACAAAACAGCATCATATATTTATGCATTGCTTAATACAAGAGCTGAATCGCCCATCACGCAGATTGTATTTAAAAACATAAGAGACGCAGTGAAAAGGAATAAAACTCCACAAATTCGCGATGTGTTTTCTAAAAGTTTATATCGTGCACTATATCGAACATTTTTATATCGTTATCGAAGAACGTGTACCGTCGATAAATATCGATACCGTTTTATCGCCCAGGCCTAGTCTGAAGCTAAAAAAATAAAATAAAATGTTGGGAGTCTGTGCACATCCATACACTGTTATGTGTGAAAGGACCCTATGTTTTATGACAAAGATGCGAGACACTATGGCTTTCCACTCACCTGACACTATGACCCTGTACTCTGAACGCCTGGATGGAGGGCCATATCTGCCTCTGGGAGCTCCAACTCCACCACCTCCACCTCCACCTCTTCCACCTCCCCTGCCACTCCTTGGGAACTCCACTCGAAGACGATAGCCATCATAGTCATAGCCATCTCGTCCATACACAGCATCCTCTGCATCTCTGCAGACATAGAAAATAATGAGTGGTGAACGATAAAATAATCCTCATGGTTTGCGCATGCGCAGAATTTTATACTCTCAATCTAAACATGGTACAATTGTATTTACAAAATTAGAGCATTTCATTAAAATATACTGCATACTTAAGAGTTTTGTATACTTCTCGGAATTTTAGTTTAGCTGATATAAGTTAGCTTAGATACGTTAACGTTACTTAAACTTCCCAACTTCCGTGTTATGACCTAGCTGACGGATTTCAGCGCCTCATATTAGCATTTAATTTAAAAGACTAGTATTTGCGTATAAAACACGTATTTATATCATGTAATAAGTTAAGAGAGATAACATCGACTTCTTGTGTATTCGTTAGCAACACATAAGCATGTAGCTTCAGGCTAGGCTTGGTTTGTTTGCGTGTTTACCTCGGGTCCTCGAACTCCACGAATGCAAACGGCGGACCTCCTCTTCTGTTTTTAAGGTCGATATCCCGAATGGCTCCGTATTTATAAAACACATCCTCTACGTCCTTGGTGCGAATATCGGGGGGTAAATTACCTACGTAAATCCGACAGTCGTTGTTCCCTGCAGGCCCTCGAATTACACTGCCAGACATTTTCAACCAGAAGTTACGCAAACGACGTTGAGAATTTGTGACGATTCGTCAGGTGACAACAAAAAAATCCGTTAGCACTGCTGTATCTATATACGTTTACCAACCAATGCTACTGGTTATATTCAAAACCTTTATTTCTCAAAGAAAAAAAACCCCCCGATCCCTCCCAATATGGCGCTGTCCCTTTTTCCCTCAACACACGTTCGCGACTGCGCGGAGGGATACGTGCTGGGCAGTACTGCGGCAGCTGAGCTTTCATGAGTTATTAAATTGAAACTGTTTTTTTATTTTGCTGATAATGTTGTTTTAAACCTGTATGACTTTTTCTTCGTCTGTTAGGCAGAATGTGAGGGACTTGCAGCCTCAGTTACACTTTCATTCTGAAATGGTCTCTTTAAAATTATTGAAGGGTCATTGAGACTGTCATAGTGCCTTAACATCTTTTTTTTTCTGTCACACTAATTTTAAAAAACGATGATATCGTGTAACATGTCCCTTTTAAAAATGGCATTAGTCATTTGGTGCAATTTTAATGCATCAATCCAGTATGCAGTATCTACTACCCATCTAGATATGTAGTATAGTGAGCTATTATTTTGCTTGATATCAATTCCGTGTGAATGGTGGAAATACAGCACTTTCACTTAGTTCCTGGCACATTTGGTTTTAAGTTCAATTGTAAAACAAACAATTAAGGCAGTTTTATATATATATATATATATATATATATAAACATCAGGTTTTCACATTAGAAATTCATACAACTGAAAATAATTCTCACATGGCATCATTCCTGGATCTCTATACAAACCCATTTTAAAGTCAACACTCATCAACCCAAACATTTAGAGAAATTATTGTAATATGTCAATAAACAAGAATGTTTTATATACATTTTTTTAATCTTGCGTTTTACTTTTGTTGCAACTATGATTCCCTTGAAAAACAAACCACAATATGCCTACTAATTCCTCACAAATCTAAATGAAACTGAGATCATGACCCAGTGTTACAGTGTTAAAACAAGACATGCAGTGGACAAAGAGAGAAACCAAATTTCACACTGCACTTTTATTCACACTGCAGAATCAATCATTTCACTCATTCATTGTTCAGTACAGCTGCCTTCGTAAATTTAAGCATATAATCCGGATTTCATATCAGTTATTTTTCATCCAATGACAGTTAGACTATTGGTCTAATAAATAAAATGTAAATGTACACCACACACATCATCTCTTAATGAATCAGTGTGTTTTTTGAACATGCTACACAAATGCAGCCATTAGTGTGTATGCATCAAACAAGCCGTGGTTTCTTAGTCACTTTTGGCTTGTTTATCTGCTCGCCTTTTCTTAGCTTCACTCACAATTTTCAGTAGCGAGAGCACAATAGGTACACACATGGGTAGGAAAAGAGGAATATAGATGGCGAATTTCTGATCGTCTGGAAAATAAAGAAGATGCAAAAGAGAGGGGTCGAAAAAGGCCCTCTCTGAAGCCAAAATGGCCTCCCTGCTGTACTGAAGCGCAAAGGCCAGGTTCCCAGCCTCTAACTCGGCGACAGCAGACTGGAGCGACGTCACTGCACTGGAAACCTGTGCGAGAAATAATAGCAAAAGTGTGCATTTTACAATTCCTACTGTTCAGAACAAAATGTTACAGTGGAACTATTTCATTATGTGATGAACTATGAACATCTGGACCTCCCACCTGCTGTGCGATGTTGTCATTGATGACGATGTTTCCAATCTGGTCGAGGAGCTGAGCCAGCGAGGTGATGGTGGTGCTGGCGGTGGCGATGTTCTCCACACTGCGGCTCCACAGGAGTCGGTCCAGCTCCCAATCAGCCAGTCCAGCGCTGCCTGGGCTCTGCAGCACAAAGCCTGTGGGAGGATGAGTATGCTGCACGCCCAGCATGAGCCTAGAAACAAAATTATAAAGAAAGTGAAATAAAAAAACTTTCACCTGGGCAAACCAGGTATTTTTACCTACATTTGTGAAAGTACTAACCGTAACTGTGCCAAAAACACACCCATCACTTTAGCCATATTAATGTTGATATCTACAGGAGGTTCAGCTTCAGGTCCGTACATTTCATTCACATTGTACACCTGGGGACACAAATGACAGATAAAAGACATATTCCCGTTTGCAACATCCAGCACATTCACATCATTTCATATAATTCACAATATTTAAAGAAATTTAAAAAACAGGAAGGGGGCAAAAACCTTTTCACACCACTGTATCATGAAAATCTGACGAGCACAGAACACTCGAGTCCCAGCCTCAGAGGAGACAAGAGAGCAGTGGATTTATTCATTCATTTACTGTATATTACGCTGCTGCCACAAAGATTAAGGAAGTGAATATATCTGGACAGTACCATAATGCCGCCCCAACGAGGGCTGTGGAAGGCGTTAGAGGGCACCTCCCGTTTGCTGTGGTCTCTGATGAAAAGAGGAGAGTGGTGGGAATCTGGCACATATAGCAGGAAGTTCAAGACAGGGTTAGAGGAAGCTGCATTGGAACCTGTGTGAAAGAATACCAGAATGTGTAAATCTACATGAGCATTCATTAAAAGCAGATCACATCAGTTATAGCTCAAATCTCACCTAGTCTGGCCTCAACAGGGTTGATAACATGTGACAGGCTGTCTGCACTGAGTGTATATGCTGACACACTGTTGTCAAATCGAGGATTCACACCCAGAACGACATAATACAGAATCTGAAAAGAACAAACACACAAGTGACAAATAGAAGAGGAGAACTTTAGGTGGGCAGTATTTACTATATCAAAAATGAGAATTACAAATTATTATTTACAAGATATAAATATACATAATGATAGTAATATTTGTTCAATGTTTGCTCAATGGAACTCAGTGGAAAGCTGTTGATATATTAAATAACCACACAGTAATACCAATTTATCAAATTAAATTTATATAAATTCCAATTAAATTAAAGTAATTAAATTAAAGGAAACCAAAACAAAATCTGGCATTAGTGAGCAACTTCATATTTAATGTGACATGTGTAAAGAATATAAATATAAAAAGAAAATAGATATATATATAAAAAATATATATTATAAACTATTAAAATTCTGACTCTAAATGCTGACTGAATGAGTCTTAATGTTGTAAAATATCCTCATGCACCACTCCAGGTTTCTTCATTTCTCTTGTGTAAAAACACAAAGCAGCTCTACTAGCTGTGCAAATGTATCTGTTGTTGTATAAACAGTACAGCAAATTCTCTACGAGTTAACACATTTGTAATCGTTGCAAGGTACAGAATATTCCGTCATCCCTGTGAAGAGTCACATTTGTTAGAGACCACACAAACTACAATGTAATTGTTCTTAGGCACCTGAGAGTCCACTGAAAAGTTGGCTATAGGGGCAAGTTTGTTCAATAAAGGCTGAATGCAGCTTTGAACGGCGCCTTCGATATCCCAGTGAAGACTGTGTGACCTTGGGTCTGGGTTGAGCAGACTGAATGTGATCTCGTAGCCTAAGAGAGGCCGAAATTAGATTAAGATAATTAAATGAGTATGCTATTGAGAATACAAGCCAAAATGAGGTATAATACTCACCGGGACTGGATTTGATGGCCCTCATGCTGTCTGCCATACTCTCCTTAGTCACTTTGGCCATGCGGACACGGTTGCTCAGAGCAGCTACTATATCCTGGTGACTAAAGGACATGGTGCTTACCACCTGCTCCACCTTCACGTCCAGATTTGATAGGACTTCCTTCAGACTCCAAGAACTTTTAAAGGGAGGAGAACGTAGCAGCGCAGTGCGCCGTTGCCCCACGTACACTTTCACATCCTGAAAGTAAACAGCCAGAATGAGCTTCAGAAGTGATTTCAGTATGTAAAAATACAGAAATGCTCTGAATCTTACCTCTGGCAGAAGGGCGGCGGTCTCGGGGATCACATATACAACCACAGACCCACAAGAACTCTCAGAGAGCATGTGTAAGGATAGATCTGCCTCTGTGGAGGGAGAAGTAAGCAACTCAGGGATAGAAACTCCATAGTACCAATAGAAAAATGAATTCACATTTAAAAATGAGTGATGTGCCAAAAAGAAAATCGAAGAAACCCAAAACCAAAATAGCTAATTTTAAATTAGCTTTTGTTTGGAGTAACTCAACAAATACAATTACTATTTATTATAATAATACTTTTTTATTTTATTTTATCTATATTTCAGGGACAATACACATTAATAATGCACATAATCAATGTAAAATGTGCCAAATTTAGCCACAATGGCCAATTTCCACCTGTAGTGCCTGGGCAAGTAATTGGAAAAAGTAAAAAGATCTCAGTGCTTACACTAAAATCCATATACATGTTCACAATTTCACAACAACAACCATTAAAAATTTTTTTCTTTTAAAAGTTACCACAATAACGAATTAGTTCTAACTATTTAGTTCTGTTGGGAGTCTATTCAAGTTTTAAGGGTTCCTCTGAAAGCAAATGATAATGGATAAGAAGAAGAATATTTAATGCATAAGTGATTGCAATTGTTCTTCCGTCAGTGGGAATTACTACAATTAAAATATTCTATAATCTGTCAGTATAGTCAATATATCCTCATTAAAATTAGACATAACTGAACTGGTATTAATAAATAATTAAATAGCTGATTAAAGGGGTCATAAGATGCGATTTAAATTTTTCCTTTCTCTTTGGAGTGTTACAAGCTCTTGGTGCATAAAGAAGATCTGTAAAGTTGCAAAGACTAAAGTCTCAAATCCAAAGAGATATTCTTTATAAAAGTTAAGAGTCAACCACGCCTACCTAAAACGGCTCGTTCTAACACGCCCCCACATGTCTACGACATGATGTGGGAAGATTTGCATAACACCACCCAAATGATCGGCTTTCACCGTGGACGAAGCGGAGTCCAGCCCGGGGTCGTCACATGTGGTTACCGCAAGCCCTCCCGCCGCCGCTCACTCTAGGCCACCGTGTGTGACACCGTGTGTTTTGTTGTGAAAGCGAAACTACTTTTTTTGGTCTTCCAAAATAGGACACGACTAGAAATCAGTGGTTAAGTTGTATTTACAACACTGTTCCAGAACAGTTTAACCCAAATAT